GGAGGAGCAGGAGTCACTGTCACTTGCCCTGTCCTGCTGCACCCCCGGATCACCCAGCTGTGACACCGGTGGTGCTTGGGGTGCTGGCAGCTCAGCCACCCCCTCTGTGACCCCCCAACTCTCCTCTGCCATGTGCGTCCCCACAGCAGGGTCCTGGGCAGGACCCCATCCCTGCGGGCCAGGGCACAGCACCCACAGCCAGCACAAAACCACAACATCCCCGTTTTCCAGTGACACCCGTGGCCTGAGCTGAGCCGTGGGAACACGCTGGGACATCGGGATGGGCTCCGGGTGGCTCCTCCCTTGGCACAGCCCTGCCAAGGCTGGCACATCCCAGTCTCCCAGGGGGAAGCCAGTGCCAGCCCCCCTGGGGGTTGCAGAGAGTTTTGGAGCAGAATTTCTCCCCCACTTGCTCATTCCTCCCTCCCTCCCAGCCATGTTTCCTCACCAGCATCCTCAGCCTTTCCCCAGCCAACCACCATCCTGCAGCAGCTCCCTTCCCTGCCCACAGCCCCCCAGGTCTGGTGCTGGGTACCCTGCTGGCACTGGGGTGCTGCAGGGTGGGCACCCATGCCGTGTGTTGCTGCACAGAAATGTCCTTGTAGAGGAGCAAGAAGCTGCTGTCACCCACACCATGTTCCCGGGGGACACCTCTGGGTGCTGCTGGGCAAGCTGGACCTGGGGTATCCACAAAACTGGGGGTCCTTCTTGTTGTTCCTACTGCTGTGCCCAGAACTGGTCTAGGAAAAGGGGGTGCAGGGTGGAAAAGCAGAAATACTTCGATGTTGGGGCTCCCCACCTGTTTCCTACCTGTCACATCCCCCTGTGGGGACAGCTCGGGGCTGGCAGCCAAACCCCTCTGGGTCCTGGTCCAGGGAGGGTCCAGGGGGTGGCAGATGGTCCTCCCTGGCTGAAACCAGGGGATGTGTCTGGTTTGGCCCAGTGGTGGTGGCACCAGGTGGGTTTGGTGGCTGCTCCCCTCCCGAGAGACGTGGGCTCGGGGGGG